GCTGTGAGAAAAAGCTTGAATTTTTAAGCAGAGAATAGCTGGAATGGTTCCAGGAGGATCTTTCATTATGTTGGCTGTGATGAAGTCGGCTTCCTTCTTCCCTTCAAAGCTTTTCTGTATGATTATCTCTGCCTGGCAAGCTCTCTCCCCTGGCGAGGGCTGAGGAGTGAGAGAAGCAGGGAAACATTTCTGCTTCAGGCTCTGCGTTTCACCAAGGGCCCAGGCTCTGGCCTGGGGTGGAGGGGATGAACCACACAAAGAGCAGTGTGGGGAAAGGGAGGCTTGGCTGCCTTGGCTGCACTTGGCCGAGGCACCGACTGACTGTGACCCTGTGCTTCTTACCCACCAGCAACAGTTTGGGGGGCACAAGAAGTCAATGTTAATCATTAGATTTATGTAAGAACCAAAAATGTTTTCTCTTGAAATGGATTTTCTAGCCCAAACTGCTTACCACCTCTGCTTCCTTATACTTTTTTATAAATCATTAAAATGTAAAATCAATAATAAAAGGAAAACACAAACATCTGTTCTGGATAAGGCATAGCCTCATTTAATGCATGTATGTGGTATTTTTTGAATGTGTGCTTGCTAAATATAATTATTCCAGTTTAAATCCTCCTTAGCAAAGAATGGACTAATGGAGACCCTACAGATCTCTCTGTGTTTCTATGTTAATCTCTCTAAATAAGATTCTCTCTGTGGTTGTCAAGTTGACTCCATGCAGTATCTTAATCCATGATACAGGAAAAGAAAATGGGATTGCAGTGTCCTTTTGATCTATTTTCTAAAAATTAGCAATATTATAAGTGTCTAATATTCAGGAAAGCTGAGAGATGATTTTATGTAAATATTCTAAATTTTGAGTTGGAACATTGGAAAAAATGAGTACATTATCCAGTGTTAGAAAACAATAACAAAACCATCTTTCCCTCCCAAGAGGCTCTGTCGTGTCTTGGTTTTGTTTACACTGGTTACACTTGGGAGTAGTTGGGCTGGTTTAAAACCATTGCAGCTTTAATTGCTCATGGGTCCTTTGCTCCTCTATGTCTAAGTCTTCCAGTATCCAAATCCAGGCTTAGCATGGATCAGTGCCTTCACTTGGATCCTGCACTGTGTACCAATACATTGGTAATACGTATTGGACTGCCTTTCGTAATGATGTTTTTCTGGAATTAGTCATGGCCCTTGGTAATTGTTTCTGTTTTCTGAACACCAACATTATCAGCTCGTGCTTCCTTTCTTCTTTAAATGGCCATAAGGGTGAAGAACGGAAAGCTGTGTGTGGCATTATCAGCTTGTTCAGAAAGTTGGCCTGATAAAAATCTTGCCTGATTTGGATAAGAATCAAAATAAATATGAATTGACAAGCTTACTATTGTCTCCTTTGGAAAGACATAGAGGTGTGAACTCTTCAAATCCAGAAAACAAATTTATTTGAGAATTCTCTCGGAGAGCACAGTACAGGAGTTGTCTCAGTTGTCAGGAAGGGACAAAGAAAATGGAACTCAGTCAGACCAAGTCTCTGCGAGTCCTTCCATTCTTGGAGCAGATTATAGCAAATCACTCACAGCTGGGTTGGTATTTTACTGTTCTGGGCTGCCTTATACGGCAGTGTGCAAGAAGCGAGACTGGTCAGGAATTAAGCTGTTAGCTTCAGACACAGGCAACCTCCCTCCCTCTAACCTAGGACAAGCTGCTTGGGCTTGGTTTGACATCCCAGAGCCTTTCTCATTCAGGGATCAGCATACTCATCTGGGATGCCAGATTCCAGCTCAAGGTTGTCCTCTGCTGGAAAGGATTTGGGCCTGTACCCCCTGAATGAAGTGGCCTCAACTCAAGTCTGGTGAGGCTTTCACTTGATCAGGCTACTGTACTTCCTTAAGAAACTAGAAGTTAATTTGAAAGGTAAGTAGAGACAAGCATCCCATTTCCCAGTGCGTGGCCCAACCATCTTGTCACAGGCCCATTCTGTTCGGCTAGAGGATGAAGGAGGTGCTCAAGAACACTGGTTTCCGTTCCGTTTCTTTCCTTCCTTCCTTCCAACATCTAATGCCATAGCTAGTTAGACTGGAGTTGTTTCCAGACAAGCATGTAAATGTTCAAATATTCTTTGATACCAACCACTGGTAATCCTGGAAGTAAAGAGTCCTGGTGATCTGTTACCATGAAAGGTAATTCTGGAGCCCGTCAAAAGAAAATTCAAGTGTCCTGTTATGTCTTGTACTGACCTCCATCATGTAATTATTGAAATCCTAGCATCACAGCTCCTGTAGAAATTGGTTTTTGCCAAAAGTACTTAAACTAGTGGGATTAGAAGGGATATTTTGTTCTGCAGAACTCATTCTCTCGGCATTTACGTAAACTGTTTCTTCTTGATGATCTCATCAGTGACACCCACCTGCCATTTGCCTCTGGGCAAGCTGCTGGTTGGAGCTAGTTGCAAGAGGATAATTGCTGTGTTCCTGACTGTTCACAGTGAATTGTTGAGTGCCTTATAATATAAAGGAGAACGGGAATCAGTGGATTGTTTTACTTTCACTGAATGCTAGGTGTTAAAACGCTTTCAACACAGGGATCATGTCCTTACTCCCAGAGAAATGGTACACACACAAAACCGATTCTGTGGACGTAGCTACAGGGCAAAGGTTTTTTTCATATTTGCATTGTGCTCTTCCTGGTAAGGACTGGCCTTGAATCCAAATACCACACTAAAAGTTTTTGCTCTTGTCATGTCTCTGCTGGAATCAGGCAGAAGGATCATACTTTTCTTAATAAAAGGAGTTTCTTCAACATTTTATGTTGCTGAGCTGTGGTAAGTACGGTGAATTCTTGTTTTATGTGAGCATCTCAGAAGGTTACCTATTAAGTCTTTATGGGGTTAAAAATAAATCCAGATGTGTTTATGCAGTATCTGCTTCAGTGCAAGTAGGCACAGCTGTTTTTCGGATGTATCCTGGCTGGATTCCACCACGGGCAGTCACGTTTCCCCTTCTCTCTAAATTCCCTCATAGTTTTAACCATCAATAACAACACAAGAACCACAGCAGCATTAGTAAACTTGACTTTTCAAAAATCACTTATCCAGGGTCCTGCTGCCGTGAGAAAAAATTTAGGAATCAGGTTTGTATAAATTTGTCTGGAATTGTGGTGGGTTTTTGTGTGCATTTGTGGTGGTGTTGTTGCCTACTAGCTTTTGAATCTCGGGGACTGGCTTTCCAGCCTTTGCTTTCCAAAGCTTGAAACTGATGTTGTTCATTTATAGGTGGCCCAGGGTTGGGCGGTTGGTGGGGAGGTACTCAATGCTGAGCGGCCCCGGATACGACCGTGAGAGTTGGCAGGACCCACTGGCCAGCTGAGAGTACACAGCAGGTAAAGAAAAATGATCCGCTGGTGTAACTCCATCCTCATGGAAATGGGGAGAGCCCAGAGGTTGGCCCAAAGCCCATGCTTCTTTTCTTTCCTAAAATGAAAATCTAATTCTAGAGGGGCAAGACGCTACCTCTGTGTTCTTAGGTGAGCATTAACAATGCCCAGTTGTTATCCCTCCCAGCTAGGGAGAGATAGGGAGACATAGATAGCTGTGCATCAGTGCTGTCAGTAGGCACTTTTCTGCAACCCTCGGGCTTTTTCTGCTTCCTGGGGAAGGTGCTGCAGTTTTGCGTTAGTTTTCCTGATGGGGTTTATGGTGCAGACCTTATTTACTCTGGCAGGAGGGTACGGGATTGCTTTTGCATGTGGAAAACAGGTGAGGTGGATTTGAGCTCTGTTGTGTGTGGGAGGCCTCACTCGATACCTTCTGTGGCAGTGTATGTCTGCGGCTAGCGCCAGGTAAGGATTGACGAGCCAGGGGTTAGAGCAGCTGTAGCCCCTGAGTAAAGCTGCTTGCTGTGGGACATGTTCCTCTGTGTCACCTGGTGCGCTTGGGAGGCTGTCACAAACTCTTTCAGCTCGGAGCTATGTGTGTCTAGGCTTATCAACTGCTGCCAAGGACACTGTCTCTTTTTATCATCTAAAGGCTGTAAGATGGCCAAGCAGAGACCAGCTCTGGAGAGTTTTGTGAAAGTCTTGATATTTTCCTTGAAGACCCAGCACTTGCAGTTACCTTGGAGAAGCACCGTCCTTTCTTTTGAAAGTAAGGTTATGTTTCTCTCGATTTCAAGCAAAAGAACTCCTGATAAAAACTGGAAGGCAAACAACTCCCGCTCCCTAATTTAATACTTTAAAACTATTCTCATAATCTTGGAGATCTCTATCATGTTACTTAAGTCAAAATGCTGACAGCTGTTAAACTGCTGGAGCAGATTTATTTTTATATATCAGTGATCTTTATCTTCAACATTTGTTTGCTTTATACTAAGCAGAGGATAAAATCAATAGGGGGAAAAACAATCTGTTTTCATCACAGAACAACAAAAACACGTAAGTTCTTATGCAATGATTTCTGCATTATTCACATGATTAACAGCACAAGTTTTTCCTTGTAATGCGTCCAACTAGATTCATTTTTTTCTGAGCAATCTTTCTGTTCCCAATTGTTCCTCTGTGGGGTTTTTCAGAGGGTATCTGAGTTCCATGTTGTATGTTAAAGGAGAAAACAGAGAAACATGAGATGCCCCTGTCTTTGGTTAAACTCAGATCTATATCTAAAGTGCTGTTTTTTTGGACCTTGGGGATCTGCTTAACACTGCCTAGAGCCATATCTAGCTGTGAGTTGTATTTTAATTCAAGCTTTCTTTCATTAAAAGAATATCTGTGAACTGTGATCCAGGCTTTATTTTCAAAGGAAATGTTAAACTAAGTAATTTCTTATTTAGAATTAGGAGTATACTAAAAATGAATACCAAAGGGATTTGTGGATGACTGTCTCCCTTTTCATTTGCTGCCTACAGCTAAAATACAAGGAGCTACCAAGGGCCCCACCCCTGCAGTAACTTGAGGCGTAGTTTGTGTGCTCACACGCAGGCTACGGGAAGCCACTCCAAGTCTCCCATGTGTGCATGCTTAAGGCTCCAGCGTTTCCAAGCGAAAGAGAAAACACTTCTGAAGAAACTTGGAGGCAAAAGGGGTTAAATGAAATCCAACTCTCCTTTTCCTGTGCTGTAAGGATTAGTAACCAAACAGGAGCTGGAGAGAAGAGCCTTTTAGAGCCACTGTTTGAACCAGAACAGTAGGAAAGTGGCTATTGGAGCTTGCCTACATATAGGTGTAAGTGCCTCTAACTTTTGCACTCACCATTAACAGGTACATGCGGAAGGTAAGAGTTGGCTTTGTGTTCTGGGCTCTCTCCTAATTCCTCTGCCTGGTCATCTATTTTCTATTAGTCTTTTCTGTGCTGTTTTGAGTTTTTTTAAGCTAACTTTGATTTCCCACCATTCTTTTTTCTTCAGTTGAGAGACTTTATGGGAGAGGAGGGACCAGAGTCCCTATAACTGCAAAATGAGACTTCTTAGCAGGGAGGGAAGAAGGAACTCCATGTATTTGGTGAACACGAATCCCTTCTCCCTTACAAAAAAAATACACCAAAACTGCTGTTCTTGACATTACAGTGGGATGGAAGGGGAGCTATCAGTTAGATAGAATGCAGGATGAGCCCTCAGGAATGCAAAAAGCAAGGCAAATGCAGCAGGGTTATTGGAGGGACAAACATGATTTTTGATGGTTGGAGGAGAAGCCTACCCAGGTGCTAAGACTCTTGGAACTCTTAACTGCCACCCCCTGGGGTGCTCAGCTGCTTCTGCTCAAGTGCTGGCAGGGCACACCTGGAAAGGGAGCCTGTGTCTCCTGATCAGTGCACATTGCTCTCAGCTGCGAGACAGCTGGTTTTGGAGGCTCTTCCTAGCCAAATAATGCTGTTGGGGATCTGCTTAACATATAAATAATGCTGTTGGACTCGAGAGAGATGCTTAGGAAAGGGGAGGTTTGTTGTAGGATGTGATTCGTCATCCCTGAGGAAGTCTGAGGTGTAAGGTGGACCTCGAACACTACCTGAGGGATCTGTCACAGCAAGAAGATGGTAAAAGAGACTAGCAAGGTGGTAGGTTTGCCCTGTTTCCTGATGTTCCTTGTGGGTGGCCATGTGGAGGTAGAGGACTAGTAGTTAGAAAAACTGAGCTTCAAAGTTTTGTAAAAGTCAATGTCAGTACTGAATGGAGCTCCTAGGACTAGGAATAACTAGTATTAGTAGAAGAGTTTGGAGAAAGGTTATATTTTTCTTCAGGTTTCTCTACAGAGACCCATAAAAGGGTATTCTGAACTCCTTTGTTTATCACTTTCAGAAATGTCTTCTTAACACCTAACTCTTTCCACATCTGCACTGCACTCATGGGGCCCTTCAACATCTTCTGCCTTACAACTTGTACGTTTTTCCTCCTGGCCCTTTAGAGTTGTATTTGTGTCCCCTTCACCTCAGGCTCTGTAACCTCTGGAGAATTCCATGGGTTGTGTGGATGAAGCAGTTGAGGGAAACCAGCACTTCCTGAGATGGAGCATGTTGATGCCCAGTGTGCTATGAAGCCTTGTGTGTTGGACAGCCTCGTCCAGGTCTTCAGGACAAATGTACTGCTGTTGTGGGCAATGAAGGGAGGTTGTTTGTGTTGTGCAACAGAAGTGGGTAGAACTGTGTGTCCTTGGCATGGTACTAGCATAAGCTACTATTTGCTTATGTCATTAAACTGAATGAATAACAGGATGAAAAAAAAATTCAAAAATGAAGCAAACTTTCTATCTCTGGAAGTTCTGCATGCGATAACGGAGACATTTCTTCTAAGCGTATTCTGGAGTTCTTATCCACTGCGGATCACCCTACTGCCTCAGAGGTGTTTGGTTTTCTTTTTTAGTATTTTGCTTCATGAGACTGTAAATGCTCGATGGCTTCACAGAAATGCTGGTGGTTCTTATTTGTAGCATTTGCATATTACATATCTGTTTTACTGGGACACTGTCCGCTCTGAATGTAGCATCTAAGAAAAGGGGTGTAACAAATGATTTGAGATGACTATCAAGTAGGGGTATAGGTTTTTATATGTTGATATCTCAATTTACAGTATGTATATACCCTGTCGGTGTATACGTGTATACATTGTGTGTGTGTGTATATATATATATATACACATGCTACATATAAAACAAATATAAACAAAATGTAAATTAAGGAGTAGCAATTCTTGTAGTGCTAAGTAATGCTAGAAAGAGGTTAGAGAACAGATGATGTCAAATATTGCTGTTCAGTGAGCGTAGTGCCTTCTAATGCAGATCCTGTGGTCTGTTTTTCAGATGGGCAGTCTGATCCAGCATTTACCAGCTTGATACGAGAGCAGCTCAGCAGAGCTTGCCTAGTCTAGTTGCTTGGGGGATTACCTGCCTCCCAGCTTAGGCACAGGGTTCAGGTAGAGTCTTTGTGAATGGCTGGGTCCTGACTTGCTGAAAAGGGCTAGCAAAGGAGAAAGGAGTATGTGGTTGCAACTGCTTTTTCTTGATGGTATTGTATTTTAAGTCAAAGAAACAAAGCTGTTCTTTTAAAATAGAGTATCTGGAAGAAAAAAAAAAACCTTCAGTACTAAAAGGCCTCTCCTTTAGGTGCAATTATTTTAAATACTGCCTTGAGCATGTAGGGCTTAGGCTTTCTCCTTATTCAGAGGAGAGGACTTTAAATGTTAATAAAATGTTAACCATTTAGTGAGATCATGTATGTGCGTTAATGAGTCATCGGTATGCAGCACACAGAGCTGCTGCCTTTTTTTTTTTTTAATTAAAAACATAAAAGCTGCTGTTTTGTATCCCAAGTACTCTAGGTGCTGTTTTTATACAATTACAACCCTTCCCATGATTCATTATAGGCTCATCCTTAGTTGAGAACAGAAGGGAACTGTTCTCCCAGGGGCATAGAGAAGCTCAGTGAACTACCAAGGAACTAAGTTCCTTTTCTCTTAGCTTTGTGATAAGCATTATACAAACTGAGGACAAACTCACAAGAGTACCAGGCAGAAACTGTTACCTGAGAGTAGACAGTGGTGGGTGATTGCTCTGATTCTGTACAATCCTTTGCAGTTAGGCCTGTGGTAAAAGGGACTTGTCAAAAGAACTTATTTCACTGGAAATGACATTCTGCTGGATACAGTTCCCCTGTTTCGTTCTTTTTCATTCTACTACTGGATCTGAAATGCGGTCTGTTGTTTTGAATGATGGCTGGGGAGCAGCTACTAGATTTTTGAGGAGGGACTTAGCGAAAGGATTTGAATGCTGTAACTACTCCTATTTGTAGTTTGTGTACAAGCCATCTGCTAACTCAATAACAAGCTCCAGATTTTTTGACATGCAAAAATGATATATTGAAAGCTTGTACCATTCACAGATTGTTTATTTCTCTGCTTGGCCCTTAAAGGAGTAATCGGAGGTTTGGGCATCTGTTGGAGGAACCAGCTTCAGAGCAAGGAACACGTTTATTTTTAGATCACGCTGTTGTCATTTTGCTGCGATCACACAGTCAAGCCTGTACTTCCTTTCAGATCTCTCCAGGCACTGCAGTGTGATCACACCCTCCTAAGATCATTTTTTATGAAGTTAATTTTTGGTGACAGATGAAAGATGCTCTGCTGGTATCTTTAGAGACTGCAGCCCTAATTACATTGGCACAGGTTCTGCCTCCCAAGTTTGTTAGCCTGTCTTTTTTTTTTTTAAAAGTTGTCCTCCCGCTACACAATTCTCTTGCAGATTAATGCAAGTAAGCCAGTGACTTCTCTGGAGAAACTCCCGCTTCATGCCACCAAGGTATGCCTGCCTCACAGGCAGCAGGGGTGATTCCTTAGGGAATGTGCATATGCTCACTAGTTTGGCATGTTTGCAGGTCTATACAGATATTGCCGAGTTAGCTTGAAAAAATACTTTAGGTTCCAGTAACAGTTTGATGGTAGTAGCAATAAAACCCCACATGAGGCTCGAGGTAAATACTCTTATGTTTTTTCTATCTATATTGATTGCTGTTCCAGAAGCAAGTTTATTTAAAGGTATCTTCTATGCAAGCTACCACTGAATGTAGTGACAACATCCCTCACAGAACAGAGACATAGGTCTTGCAAAGAGATGCAGAAAGCAATTTGTGTTATTTTACAGCTCCCTTTTGAGGTATTCTTTTAATTTCTTACAAAGCTTGGAACTTTATTTAGATAAAGTAAAATTAAAATTGGAAGCAGTTATCCAGCATTGAAATTCTTTATTTTCCCAAGGAAGTCTTCTGAGTTCAAGTCAGAGGGAGTTTGTCTCAACTGACAAGCATATTTGTAAACATTAGTAGTATTAAGTATCAAATAATACTACAAATCAGGCTAAATAATTTAAGTCGAGTTTGAGACATGACAAGAGAGAGCAGACTTAGGAGATCTTTAACCATTGTTCTTCAAAGTGCAGCTGTCTAATGCTTGGGATGTTACATCTTTGTCATGTATTTTCCATAGGCAGTCAGTAGAGTCTTGTAGAAATGTTAACTATCTAAATTAATCTGTGTGTACTTCTCTGTCTTCCTCGTACACACTCACAAATTTAATTAACATCTAAGGATAGCGAGAGTACCAAAATAGAAGGCAGAATCCTATCTTTATGTTTTACGATGAATTTTTAATTGCAAACTTAATAGGAGAAGGCTAGTTACAGAAAACTGAATCTCAGCTGGTATTAATAGCAAGACAGAAGGCAGTCCTTGTGAAATACTTTATTAGCTCATGTGAAGGGCTGGCAGAGTGATCACATTTGCTTGGAAGACAGAGCACCACTGACCTAAGCTTTAGCTCTTTCATTGTGGATTTTGGAGAGTGGGAAGGCAGCAGATCTGCCTCTTCTCCACCCCCTGATATGGTTACTCATGGGAGACCTTGCTGGAATTTCTGAGTGATTCACAGTCTGGTCTGAAGCTGCCAAAGCCTCATTTTGCTGTTGCATGTGATTATTCTCAACTTCTTTTCTGAGTGATTTCTGTATTTGGGTTAAAACTTCCATAGGCTTCTGTAGCTTCCCCAAGAGCTGCTGAACTTGGCACTGCTGTAAAAGTCCTTTGTACATACACAGTCAATATGGGTTGCATTAAATGAAAGTGCAGGTTTAGGTGCCTGTTGTGAATCGAACTGAAGGCTGACATTAAAGTCCCTTGATAGAGCAGTTTAGAGGATGCTTGTATCTACAGTGAAGTCATCTCCGTGCTGCTTATCAGTCTTTTCTAGACCTACTGTCTGTTAAGGCAAAAGCTTCTTTCCTGAGTAGGCTTAGTGTTAAGCCCTGCAGCAAGGATGCTTATCCCAGTCTGTGGTTTTACTGGACTTTTTATGTCCTGTCCAGACTGATGAAATGCCAGCAGTTCAGAAAGGGCTCAAGAACCTGCTTCATGGACACTGTCAGACGTGAATTTTTTAAATTTCCACAAAATCTGACTTGATCCATACTGTGTTAGACAGAAGCAAGGGTCCTGAGATGCTCAAGTCTGATGCAAGGTTAAACTTCTCTGGTGTTCAGAGCGGCTTGAGTTGACCTTTATTAGAGAACACAGCTTTGTAATTCAGATCCGGACCTGCTCTTTTTGGCCAAGCTTGCAGGTGCTTGGAAGCAGACACCGCTTCATCCTTTTTGCTCATCTAACCTGAGCAGCTAATGACAGCAATTGTTCCATATCTTGAGCATAAAGTCACCATTTTCTCTCAAGAAATGTTTCTGGGTGGAGGGGAGTGGAGATTCTAGCACACAATGGGGAAGGGAGCTGGGAAGGTTTTAAAAGAATGAAGAAATGGCAGAAGGAACCGAGAGCAGCAGCTGCTGTTATCACAAGTGAAAACACTGCAAAACACTGTCCTTTTCATTCCTTCCCCCGCACAGCCAGCCCTTGGTGAGAAGAATGGAAAACAAACAGATGCTGCTGTGTCTGAGGTCCTGCAAGGAGTGTTTAACTGCAACTGAAAGAGCCATCACATCTAAACTTTTAACTGGGTCACTCGAGGGTTTCAGTGAGATTCCCTGGTCTCATCTGTGTTGTTTCTGTTGGAAGTAAGCAGAACGGGATCAGTGCTGATCTGAGAGGACTCTCAAACAACAAACTCGTTGAAGCTCAGAGGATCAGAAACAAGCTTCGTTCAGGAGTGAAGGATTTAATAGACTATGAAAAGCTCTGTTTGTTCTTCTAGACCTTCTTTCCTGAGATCTGTTGACTGGTTTAACAGGGCTGTATAATGATCTTTTTCTTGCTGAATTTGGGCCAGATGCTGGGCAATACCTATGCGAGTGCAACGGCACAGAGATGCAAACAGGCACTAGACTGTGAGCGGTTGCTTTGGAGCAGGTATTGCCCCAAATGCTTGGTGCTCTCTTTCTAATTGTCTCCTTGCAGAATCCTTTGATGTGATCTAAAACCTGCAAGTTATTAAATACTTGGAGGCTGGGAGCACGGCCAGCCCTGGGAGCCTGGGAGCACAGCCAGTCCTGGGGAGCTGCTCCTCTAGCCTCTTCTCTAGGAGCCTCCTAAGGTTTGAGCCCAGCTCCCTGTTCACCTCAACTCAAATGCGAAAAGGAGCTAAGGGGCCATAGCTGCCTGCAGTGCTAGACTGCCAGGGATGTGGTTTCCCCAGCCTGCTCAGTGAACCTGAGAGGAAAAATGTGTTGGGGAAGGGCTGTTTTCCTCCAGAAAGTAGGAACAGAAGCTGATGAATCTCCAATACATTTTCCTTTGTGTCACACTGCCACCTGAGCAGCAGTGTGCAAGAAAGATGCTGCTTTCACACTGCACTTCCCTAGTGGTGTCTGATGCTCCAGAAAAGCTTTGCTCTTTTTGTATACAGTACTTGTAGCAAAAGGGTTGTTTCCTGGTCTCTTCTGGTTGCTATCCTACCCAGCGGAAAAGATCCGACCCGTGTTTGACCTCGACAGGATAGAGAATGTACCTCACCATTTGTGGAGGGTTGTTTGTTGAGGGTTGTCGTTGTCTACCTTGTTTTTCCCCTGACTTGAAAAGAAGGAGATGTAGCAGCATGTGTGCATCACGGAGGGAACATAATCTTTCCTCCGTTCCTCGAGAAGGACTGAGCCAAAGTAAATAAAGGTCTATTCACCTCAAAAATCCCCAAAGTTTCATTTTCTTATAAATCATGTGATTGGCACCCTGTGTATAGGGAGAGAAGCTTACTAGTGCCTGCTTTTCTAATTATATTTTATGTATACGTTGTTACTGTGCACAACAAATTAGGTGCAATTGAATTTTTTGGATTTAGTTTTTATACCCCAAAGGGAAAATATTAAAGAGGAAACTTTTCATCCATTTTGAATGTTGGGACTCTGAATGCTTGGGTACATATGGATTTTAGGGGCTTGTAACAAGCTGTGTGGATTTTGGAAATATCCAAGTACTAAACTAAGCAGGTTTCATTTTAGATATATTTTGTTTCTGATTTTATATTCTCATGCAGCAAAGATTCTAGTCCCAATGGTTTCATTTTAATAATTAGCACTGTTATCAGTGATATGTTCTACATTTAATCTGGATTTAATACTTGAAGCTAGAAGAGTTTTCTATGAGGATTTAATATTAAAAGAGATGTTGTTACACATGCTACAAGGTAGTTGAGATAAGCATTTCTTCCTGGATGCTTTTATGTTTTGTGAAAGGAAGATTTCTCCTTCTTTCTTTTTCCCTTTCCTCTCCAAAGTTAGAAAGCAGCCTGGATTGTGTAGCACTGTGCTGGAAATACCTTAGACCATGTCTTCTTTCTGAGCTCAATCAACAGGAAAGAGGTCATGCAAAACAGGCTCTTTTTAGTGACCAGAATGTCCTTTGCAGCAGATACAAACTTTGGTGAGTGAGTTGTTGTGGATTTGGTTGCTGCAACTCAAAAAGGAAGGATAAAATAGCAATAGGCAGGATGTGAGTATTGCATTGCTGCACAAATGTGCATGATGCCCCAATTTTTAGGAACTCCTGCAATATTTCAGCACTGTTTCATACTTTGTTGTATGCCACCCTACCAGTCTGTGTGGAGGAGGAAAAAAAAAAAAAATTCCCAAACCCACACGGGATGAACACAGGGTACAGAAATGTTAACTGGAAAACTTCCCACTTTGGGTTGGTTGAAGTCATTATCATCTTGAACTGTTTTTATGATGTACATTTGAGAAATGTTGGAAAGCAGACAAGCAACAGCATGCATCCTTCACTGTGCCCGTGGATGGTGTGCTTGTAATACCAGGGGAAAGTTCAGGGAAATAATTGCACTCATTAATTACATTCTGGCTCCCAGTGCAGAGTAATTTCAGTCTTTGCAGTTGCCTTTGTCTATCCAGGGAGTTTTAAAATTGTTTTTCTTACCTTGATTTTAGTCCCACCTTCATTTTTCAACTCTCTGGTATCTTCGTTCTGCAGCCATACAAGCTACAAAGCAGCAAGCAATTCTGATCACTAATCTTTCTGTTCTACAGGCAAAGATGAAGAACTTGTTCCTTCTGCTCTTATTAGCAATGATGCCACCTTCTCCATTATCAGTAAGTAAAAGTTCTTCTGACCACTCTTATGAGAAATGAAAGCTGTTAAAGACTGACACCATCTGTAACACTTGGTTTGTTGACAGGATCCCCCTCAAAGCAAATGGGTTAAAGCTGTCAGCCCTATTGTGGTGTAATGTCATGAAAAGTCTAATACGGCAATTAAATAACTGAGTTCTGGTAGCCCCTTTAGCTCTAGGGATATTATATACAAAATATAATTGCCACCATCTGCTTCAAAGCTATGGACAATTGTCACTTAAGGTAAAGAAAAATGAATCCCTGGGTCTGTGTTTTCTCTTTTTTTGTGTGTGTAACCATAATGGCTTAAGCTATATGGACTAGTTTTGTTGGGACAAGTAAAAAATAATTCGATAATGTCAAAAAATAAAGGAGCCTTCAGAAGCTGAGGTTATTTTTCCTTTGTGAGAGAGAAGTAGGAGCTTTCTGAAGTGAATAGAGTTTGAGAACAGTTTCTCTGAGCTTAACTTCAGTTATAGTAATGAGTTGTACAATAGGAGGTAAAAGGAGACCTGCTGAGTAGAGGGGAAGTGTTAGCAAAGGGAGTGGTGACACTTTTGTCAGATGGGAAGGAACAGAGAAGGGGGAAAAAAAAGACGTAATTATCACTTGGAATAAGCGTTTGGTGGGAGTAGGGAGGAATTGGAGTATGCCATTAAAATTAATGAGCCTGTAACTTTTAATCTCTAGTATGGTTATGAATTTCTATTTCCAAACTCATCATTTGCAAATGCTTTGTATGCCTTATTTGATGATTAGGGTTAAGAGGCCAGAAATGAGGTAGAGTTTAGTAGTAGTCATTGACTTTTTACTTTATATCTGGAAATATGCTCACGTAAGAGCTTGCCATCTCACCTCTGATAGAATATGATGCCATATGTAAAAAGAAGCAGAAACCAAGTATCCTCGGTTCGATTCATCTGTTCATCTGCTGATTCCCAAATGGTGATTTTTCTTTTCAAAAGGCAGATGACCGACATGCCCAACAGCTGTGAGGGCAGGCGCTTGTCTGCATTGCTGGGGTCAGGAGCTCCTCATGGAGGCACCGTGATGATGGGACAGGTGGTGCCTGGCCACCACCAACTTCAGCTTCAGGGGGATGCTGGGGAAAGGGAGGGCAGAACCAGGTAATATAGTAGCAGAAAAGGCACAATCCGACCTGTGTGGGTTTTAATCCAGAATGAGCCCTAGATCCACCCTGTCTGCTTATGCAAGCACCAGTTGCTTCTGGAGCTGACACCTTCTTCCCTGGAAGCAGGAAAGTGTGAGCTGGCAAACGCCCAGATTGGAAGTGATAATGGAGAACAGCTATAAATGTGTGACTGCAGGCTTACATGAGGATGGGGAAGATGTATCCACAGGGGTTTGAGGCTTGTGATTAAAGGGTGAAGATTGATGCTTACTGTTTTTCATCTCTTTTCCTGCTTGTGGAGTGCAGCAGCCAAACTTGTTTTTAGTTCATGTTGATTGTTAGACCAGGGAAAGCGGCAAGTAGAAGAGAGGGGAAATGTTGGCAGGACCAAGAGTGGCTGCTGCAGCTGCTGTCTGCCAGACATGCAGGCAGCATGAGAGGGTCTCCTGCTCCCTGAGAGTGCTCCAGCCTTGGTAGCACTCTAGCACCCACTAGACGCCTTCCCCCCTCATTACTGCTCGAATATGGAGAAGGGCTTGCCGTGCAGGACCTGCAGTGTTTCTCTGTTTTCACCAGGCTCAGAAGAACCTGGAAAAGGAGCTCATCCCTCTTACTATCATCTCCTCTATTATTTGCGCTACTGAAAGTGTTTTTAGATGGTCAAGGGTCGTTATGGTAGGGGATACACAGAGAGATAACAAAGATCATGTCTCTACAGCTTGCAGCCTAGCTGTCTGAGAGAGCATAGTCCAGTGTAGCTTTGAACTGTCCTGTGGTTGCTTTTAGGAAAGCTGGGACCAATAGCAGTAATGGCCAATGACAGGTTCACCTGTTTGTCTTATTATTTCCGTAGTGTTTTTGGAGCAGAGTGAATATACGTAAAGATAAAACTGTCTGAGCTATAATTCAGAGAAAAAGAAATTCTGAACATTTTGCTTGTGAAAAGCTTTTTTTGTGTGCATGTATTTAACATGGGGGAAGGCGCTTCAGGGCTGCTTTGTGTTTAGTAAACATGACGTTCATTAGGTTTCATTCTGCCTCCTTTTTTTTTTTTTTTTTTAAAGTATGCTTTCATGTTGAAAAAGAATTGCAGCTAGAATTCCTTCTTTCCAGATTGTGAATCCCTTTACCGCAGATAGTTTGGGACTATTTCAAAGAGCTGTATATGAAGGGAAGAATTCGATTTAGTCCTTTATGATCTCTAGGCATTAGCAGACAGATAGATCATCTCCAGCAACTTATATTTGTTCCTAGAATGTTCTGAAGTGTGAAGTGAAGGCTGGTCCAAGGCTTGACTGAAAATCCTGTTGAAGTTAATTTCACGTAAAGAGTCCTGCATTTCTATGGATATCTCCATGGTCTGCATTTCCAGATGCTTCTGGAAATGATGTTTCTGATTTATTCCGAAGAAACGAATATTGTCATTGTTTAAAACTTCTTAATATGTAGACAAAACTTTTGAATCTGTTGACAGAAAGGTAAAAAGTGATAGAGGACCTCAAACTTAGGGTCAAAAGCAGTGAATATTACTTGGAGGAGGGAGAAAGGGAAGGAGATCATATTCATGTTCCTATGAGTGAAAAAATAAACCCCCCTCATAAACAACTGTGCTTGGTGAGACCAAAGATGAATTTTGCCCTATATTCTATCTCCAGCAACATCATGAACAGATCTCTAGAAAATAAGTATGCAAAATATTTTCCCTGATAAGCTTCCAGACCCCAGTCATTTGTAGTTTATAAACCTTTTGAGTTGAGCTGTGTCTTTTTCTCTTCGCTAAACCTATTCAGTGTCTCCCTGAATCCAGAAGACCTCTGGCATTCACAGTGTTTCTGTCATAACATCAAGACTCCTCCCTTGAGTGCTGGAGATCAGTTTGTATGTCATATTTTTATCTATGAGGATAGGATTTCTGTTTTCTCCTGTGTATCGCTTTAGTTATCTACAACAAATCTTACCTGTCATTTACTGGCCACTCACTCATGCTATAAAGTCCTTTTACAGGTTCTTTCAGTCTCCAGTCCTCAGACATCTTTTGTACTGAGAATTACCCTATCAGCCTCCTTGGTTATTTTTGTGTTTTCGCTATAACTTATAAATGTGCTAACAGTACCAGGTCCTTACAGAATTCTGCTGCTGTTGCCAGTTGTTTTGGAGCTTTTACTTCTGTCTTTGATAGATAGAAATCTTTAGGCCGTCTGTTTATCATCCATGCAAGGAGCCTTATTCTAGGTGCTTAGCTTCCTTCAGAGTTTTAGATGAAGAATTTTGCTGAAAGCCTTTTCGAAATCTGAATATATCATATAGTTTGGCCTTACTGACAATTTTGTTGAATTCTTCTGCAAATTCAAATAGCCTTAGAAAGGTTTGTCTTTAAAAAGACTATTTCCCTGATACAGTATATGTACTATATACCATAAATATTACGTGTCTGCCAGTTCTGTTCTTTGTTATCATTTCTATTAATTTGTCTAGTAGACATCAGTTTTACAGTTCATTGGGTTGCCCTGGCATATTTTTGCAAGTTTTCCACTTCACAGTGATAAAGTGCAAAAGTGGTTTTAACTGAGAGGCTTCCCTGCTAGTATATAAAACTTTGGACCTTTCAACCTAGAGTTCTTTTTAGGTCCCTTGGATAAACAGCTGCTGGTGACTTCACACTATTTGTTTTGTCCACCTTTCCAGAATAAGTCTGTTGTCACAACACTTTCTCACAATCCTCTTTTTTGTGGAGCTGTCTGAATGTTGCCAGTAGCTTCCATCAGGAATGCAAAGGATTAATTTAACTTCTCTGCAATAGCCGTATCTTCTTTGAGCGCTCTTTTTACGCCTTTGTCAGCTGCAGGCCCCACAGTCTCTGCAAGGCCTTTCATTCCTCATGAGCAGCTCTCCCTGCTCTGGCTGCTGGTTATCAGTCAGTTGAATGAAGCGGGATGTATCTGGGTCTGTAGTACACACTATGTCTTGCCTTGCAGGCAGGGAAGGAAGGAAGGAGCCAAGTACACTGCGGAATAGCCCATAATGATGTAGAAAGGACTCCGAGAGCGGGGGGGGAGGGGTGAACATGGGACACATGAGAAAATCCAAATCCTCATTATTCCCAGCTCTAAGTGCTGGGGCATTCTGGGGAGAGGAGCTGAAAATGTAGGGGAACTGATGGACTTTTTTATTTTAATGGGCATATTAGAGGAGATACGTTAACCACATGGGGCTAAGATGGTGGAGGGAAATGGAAGGAGAGATGTACACAGAGTGCGAGTGAAAACCTCCACCCATTAGAACTAATGAAACCCTGTTTTTTTCTCCTCTTTGTGAAGTAGATTGCTTTAATAACATGCTCTTTACCTCAGTACTATTATGTATTTCTCTTCCTGATGTCACCGTCTTGTTACCTTTCATTCTTGTGGTTCTTGTTTTGTTCAAATGCGTTTCTTTGATTGCTTATTCATTATTCATAAAAATTATACTTGGCACGCTTTATCAGCAAAGCTCTTTGCAAGCCTGCTGTGTCTAAGCCAAGATCAATGGTTAAGACAATTATCAAAAATACCTTGTTCATATGGCACCAATTCTTTTTTTTTTTCTTTTTTTTTTGTTGCACTGTAGGCTAATAACATTGCTGTGTACAGATGGATTTATCTGGAAAAATGTAACTGCTGATATAACAGTAGCTGTCACGTATCTATGTGATAAATCTGTGAGATTCTGAATGTCCTCAGCTCCCTTTCAGTTAAGTGTGAATGGTGCATATCTTGCTATGCAGGAACATCATGGGTCATCATCACTGTAATACTGGGTAGACCTCTCTGATACAGAAAGGAAAAGGAAATAGTTTGTGTCCTGGAGAGCACACGTTCTGCAAATGCACTCAGGATGGCCTGTTTTTGCCGGGGCCCTGAGGGTGCTGGCAGCCCTCCCTGCCGCTGCCCACCTCTCCCTCCTACCCAGCTTGGGACCCCATTTCAGCCCAGTCCAGGACCATGAGATCTTCCTGGCCTTCGTGGGGTTGTGTGTGACCCTGGTTGCCATGATGGGCAGGATCTTTCTCCTGTCCTGTGGCCCTGCCTCATCACCAGATCGCCCGATGATCTGGACTTTCAGCTGAACCCAACTATCACCCCTGTTGCCTTGTGTGGCAGTGGGATCCGAGACTCTGTCCTGACAACACGAGTAGTTCCTGTCCCTGCTGACGCCTTCTGCCCTGGGGGGCAGCTGGCCTGTGCTACTCCCTGATTTCCTTTTTGTTGCTTTCTTACTGACATGTCTCTAGGCGCTTACTATTCACACTTAGTGAAACTGCGTTTTTCAGTGGAGACATCCTACTGGCCAGGACTTTGTCAATCAAACTCTTACAGAATAAATGATTGTGGGGATAGCTTTCTTTTGCAAAGCATTTGATATTTTTCATCCTTTCATAAATGTTTTGTCAGTATGATCAGACTTCAAGGTCATAAATAAAGCCAAACGTGATTTCAGAAACTGTTGGTAAAGGCAGATATTTGTCAAGCAAAAGGAAGAAGTTTTATATGAGAAATACTAAGAAAGATACAAAGATACACTATTAATGATGAAATGCAGGCTCTGCTTTTGACTAAAGTTTTAAGCAGCAGAGGCGCTGCATAAATTGACACTGAGATTTAGGGAATTAACTCCACGTTACTTGCCTCATTGCTGACAGCTAGCTATTTTCAGTGGGTAATAATAGTGCAGGGCCTTGTAGTCAAGCTCTGATGTCTAGAATTTCCCATCACAGACTCAGTGTTGACACTGAGATATGGTACAAATGTGATTAAAGGTCAATAAATGCCTGATGCAGTTCAAAAAGTTGCACTAACAAACTTCCAGTGTCCAGAAACAACCTTCAAATGCAGCTCAGTGGATCAAAGCTGTGTGACCTGCTGAGCTAAAGCAAATGCCTTGTCCAAAACACCTTGGGCAGAGCATGGCCAGCAATAATCACAGGGAGTGGGCAGTGACCGTTGCACTGGTGTAACACGATGATTTGTTGCTGCTTATCTGTCTGGAAACCCTCGCACAGCATCGCGGTGCAGTTTGGCTTGGCTGCTGCTTTGCCATCGGCGAGCCCGTGAGTGGGGAAACACCAGGTGTGCGGGGCTTGGCGGGGATGGTGGGTTCTGCTCTGCTACGTGTGCGAGCTGTCTGTAAAGGAAAATTCTGCAGCTGCAGTGATGCATAGGCTTTTTCTTCGCTGGTTATGTCAGGTGAAGTTGGCCTGATAACAGCAGCTGCCACAACTCGGCCAGCAGGGTCTCTGCCTAGGAGCTCATGAAAGCCACGCACTGCTCGTGAAAATGAAACCACTGAGTCTCTAAACCTCTAGGCAGCAGCAGCCCAGCTCCCCGTGAGCACTGAGAGCCTGTGGTGCCAGCGCCCTGGGCTTCTGCGTCGCCCCTTGTCCTCGCAGGAGGCGGCTGTGTCTGCGCTCGCCACAGGCAGCAGGGCCGGACAAACAGTTAGGGCTCACCTGGCTCTTCCTGCCTGACTGCTGGGCCTTTCCGCAGTCGGGTGAGATGGCCGCGTGCTTCCTCTGGCTTCCCTGACATGTTAAAATATATACTTGCTTCAGATAAAGGATCGGCGTTTTCGTACGTGCGCCTAGCTGAAGGGAGGCTGAAGTGGGGCTAAGTGAAACGGTAACCGTGATGAAGTTGTAGATTTTTAGCTCCAGGGCCCATCAGGGTCTGGGTTTTCGTCATCCAGGCTGATAATAGATAAAAGCATTCCATAGTCTGAGCAGATCTGAAAGAAGCTGTTGGGACAGAAACTGGCTGATAGCATCTAAAACCTGCTCATTATGAGATTATATAATAATAGTTTTCTTATTTGTTATAAATATGCAAGTTTATATTTGCCTGTGTGCACATGTATCCAGCTATTGAAGTAACAAGGACTGTGCACAGATTTCGGAGCATGGGAGTTGGGCCCCAGTGGGAAATTCCTGTGCCCCCATGAAGCTTTAGAAGGGCTCCTCTGGCTGATGCTCCTTCTGGGATGTACCTAAATGGAACGAGACTGAGAAAATGATTGCTGCACTCTGCAGATGCATAAGCCTCATGAGAAAGTCTCCCTGTGGATTTTACTTTCCATCGAAAGAATAAAGAATGCTGCCTCTGTAGCAGGGATATTAGAATATTTATCACATTAATGTTTGTCGGAGAAGGGCTTTCTATCCTAACTGCCTTCCAGTAATCTGACTTTCAAATGCCCCTTCTTTCGATTTTTATCTACATATTTTCTTTTCCTTTCTGCTGACTGAAAGGTTCCTTGTTTCCAGGGTAAGCTAAACCTGCTCCTAAATCAGTCAGTTGATACAAAGGAATAAAATTGCAAAGAAAAAGGTTGGTAGGATCTTTCATTCTTTTGGGAGTAAGGGGCAGGAATTACAGAGGGGAGAATTAGGGGCCTGCACTGCAAGAAAAATATAGAAAAAGTAAGAGTCCTTGCTGAAAGCTAAAACACTATAGATGGGACTACTTTTGGAAAAGCAAATAAGGCTGCAGAAGTCAAACAGTAAGCTGAACATTTGGAATGAAAGAACAGAAGAAGAGGTTGGCAGAGAGAAGAGATTGGTCAGGGAGATGCTGACTTGAAAGAGATATCAAGTATGTGGGAGCAGCTGTAACCTTGGCAGCACCGCTGGGGGAGCTGAGGGGAAGGCAGAGTTAGTCTGAGCCTCGTCCCAAAGGTCTGGCTTGCAGAGGTGTTAGAAAGAGTTGCACAAAACTTGCCTGAAAGAAATTGAATGTTACAGGCCAGGCAGAACCTGTGCTTCACATTAGTGCAGTCATTAGAGAAGTAGGGAGCATGGAGGATGGGAACAGGGGTTGCTGCATGCAAGTCAAAAAAAGTTCCGTGAAAACAGGGGATAGAGTAGGAGCCAGACCCAGTGTTTATGAAGGTCTGGGAAATTGCGTAGGTGGATGGGAGTAAAATTTCATGTCAAGATAATTTTTCTTTTTGTATTCAATAATTGGTTGTGATTGTGTACCAAAATACAGCCCTAATCTGAAGTAAGCATGTTAGGATTGGCCTCACTGGACCAGCACATGGTGAGTGAAGCTGCACTGCAAACATAACCTGATGTCACGAAGTGACACCCACTTGCAACACCCAGGGCTTCAGCAGTGCTTGATGCGTAGGAGAGGAGGGACCAGGATTTCTTAAGGACACATGTGTTGGTCTCACTGCACAGGTGTTGCAGTGACAGGATGCACAACATTAATAGACTTTTGCTGTTTTTCAGTGCATGACTGAATGTAATCTGCAACTAGATCACTGTGTGTCTTCTTGTTTAAAGTAATGGGAGGGGACAGACAACTGACTAAATTCCCAGATATGCACCTACCTTTGTACTCCTCCTGGCAGAGCAGAAATGCGGCTTGTTGTAGTCTGGGTCCTGGGGTTCAGAGTCACATAAGCCCCAGCAGCAGCACTGTGGATTGCTGCATTGCCAAACAACAGTCTTGAGCAGACTGTTAAAAGCAGAGGGCAAAGGAAATGGAGGATGCAAAGACACAGTTCCTGACTCTTCTGAGTCTTCCTGTGCCTGCCTGCTCTTCATTACCCAACAGCCTTAGTGCCCAAACAGCATGTGTTACCTTTTCTGCTCTTTGACATATATATGAACGGCCCAACGGGGAAAAATGGCCATGTATAGAACCCTCTTTCAGTGCAAAGTGCATTCCAGGGATTTCCTTATTGCGCGCTTTTTTTCTCTTAAGTATCTGGCTTGGAATCAAGGATTTGGGAATAAATGGCTCCATTGATCTGGTTTCAAATGGCAGTGCTCATAGTCCCTGAAGTAATGGCTGGGAGGTAGATGTTATCATTCAGTCAGATGGTTATGCAGAAGTGCTGAGATCCTCTCTAGGAATAGGCAAAGTTTATGGGAGTTTACAAAGCTGAATTTGCTGTGCGACTTCAGGAGGCTAATGCTTCCATTTATTAAGAGGCTTTTCTGTTGCTCTCTGCTACTTTTCGTATTTTGCAGCAGCACAACTCTGCAACACATTTTCTTTTGCAGGAGAACAGATAGAAGGTCTAGATAATTTTCATTGTTTCCTCCCTATGCTGCCATGTCTGTTTGATTGAATCTGCCTTTTTTCCTTATTTACAGGATTCCAGGATGAGACGGCAAATTGATGTTTGGGGCAGCTGGGGGGAATGGAGCGAATGCAGTCGGAGCTGTGGTGGGGGTGTCAGTTTTCGACAGCGGCGCTGCTATTCCCAAAGGTGAGGGGTACTCTTTCCTTTTTTAAAAATGTGTTTCTCTGGCACACAGGAGCCGTTTTTTCAGGGTGTTGTTTAGCACTTACCACAAATGGGCATAGTATGTGTGAAAGAACAGAGTAGGAGATGTGCCTACCTATCCTGAATTGGCCACTATTCTTCTGCTCCCAGCATAAGGATGCCTTAGCTTTGCACGGGTAAAAGGCTGGACAAAGAACAAAAAAGCTCTACTTCCATTATGTGCTGAGAACATGACCCTGGGAAACCAAAGATCTTTATGGTGGTAGTTCCTGGTGTGTGTCTCATTTGTGCCAGAACACATAGCCAGAAAATGCACTAAAAGACACCAGTTTGCCTTTATACAAAGAAGTACATTTTAGTTATTTTGGAGCTTCATGGAATTGTGCTTTGTATGCTCAAAGTGAAGATGATTGGTAATGATTACTGTGAAATGATTTTCTTTTGTGCATGTTCTTCAGAGCACTTCATGTTGTTTTTCTGTCTTTCAGGACAGAAGGTGGTTCCAGTTGCACTGGACCAACTCAAAGCTATCGCTCATGCAATATTCAGGTACAGTGCTCAGTTTGTGCTCTGTTTCTTGTTTTTGTTTTCCTGTTCTTCCTCAAGCATCATATTTTTTGTTCAGAAGTAACATGCCAGTGTTAGCTCCTCTTTCTTCATCATCACTGAATCCTGTTCAACAGTACCACTCCAAAAGCACACTGGTTCCAGGCTAGAATTTATGCCCCTGATTGGAGCCAGAAGGAACACTTTTTAGCTGTATACTTAATTTTCTTCCTTTTCATAATGGTGCAGTGCAATCTTTCTCTTCTTCAAACAGAGCTGCCCAGAAGGGTCCCGGGATTTTCGGGCAGAGCAATGTGCAGAGTTTGATGGGACAGAATTTGAAGGAAAGAAATACAAGTGGCTCCCATATTATGGAGGTAATGACAAACATGTATGATTAATTTCATCTCTGAATGCAACTGACTATAGGATTCTAGCAGGGTACTTCCCAGGCTGATGTAGCAGGAGGAGTTTGCGCATGAGAACACATTCTTGCAAGCACCAGAGCATTTCTACTGCTGAGACTCTAGATGTGCAAGGCAAGAGACAGCTCTGAGCTTTGATGTGTCATCATTCAAATTGCTTTTACAAATTTTGAGAGGCTTCAACATGCATTGAAAAGTTTGCTTTCTAGATGTTCAGATAATGGCTCCCTTGTGTTCTGCACCAGCACTTGTCCTCACTCTAGAATACCTTGTCCTCTATGGGCATAAGAACAGCCCTACTAGGCCCAATGTCCCATCTCCAGAAGTGACCAAGAGAGGTGTTTGAAGAAAAGGATGAATACAGTGAGGCTTTCCCAAGGTATTTTTCTAGCCCCTAGCATTCTGTGGCCCAGAAATTTGCTCAATATCTGCCCCTTAATATCAGCCCACTCATCTGTTTCTGAACGCATGATCTAGAATTAGGTTCCTGGTGCACTTAGGCATACTATATAATATGCCTTTGTTTTGTTTTGTTTTTCTCTCCTATCAGCACCCAATAAGTGTGAGTTAAACTGTATTCCCAAGGGAGAAAACTTTTACTACAGGCACAAGGAAGCAGTAGTAGATGGGACTACATGTGAACCTGGCAAGAGGGACATCTGCGTGGAAGGAGTCTGTCAGGTGTGTGACCCGATTGCTTCCTTTCTTTACCATCATGCCTGTCAGTCTTTCTGGTGCTCCTCTTTCTTCTAGCTGGCCCTTCATAAATAGCAGGAAAGCAAATTCATTCAGTTGCTGAAGTGCTGAGGAACATGTGGGCAACATTCATCTATCTGTCTCTGATTTGGGATAGAAGATGTTAGCTCTGTCCTTCCTCTTGACTTCTTCTGTCTCCCTAGATTCAGGCTTTCTTCTTGGCTTAGTGCAGTTTGTCTCTTCTTTTTCCTTCTTTCCTCCCTCCTCATGGTTTATCCACGTCCATGCCCCTGTGCTTTGACAGGCTGTTGGCTGTGATAACATGTTGGACTCTGCCAAGAAGGAGGACAAGTGCCTGCAGTGTGGAGGAGATGGCAGTACCTGCTATGGAGTGAAAGGCAATTTTGATGTAGCCAACCTCCCTAAAGGTACAAATATGGATAGTTTGGGCAGACAAGAAAGAGAGAGTTAAACCTAAAGAAAGGGTGGAGATGCCTGCTCACCTGATTGATCTTGGCAGGCTTGGATGTTCACTTGGAGAGTTGATCTGTATGGTATGTGGCTCAGTAGCTGTTCTAATACTAGAAAATGTGTTCATTGCATTACACTGGGATCTTGATAACAGACTGATACACTTCCCATGCTGCTGCTATCTTTCCCCACTGAGTCTCAGTAATAGCCGCTATAGATGCGTGATACGGATATAGATATATTCATCCTTCATAAAACTCGCACATCCAGTGTCTTGGCAGTGTCACCAGGTTTGATACAAGGCAGAAGTGGGACCGAATTTTTAAATTATAAAAATCTATATAAATAAAAGTATGTTTTCATATATAATATATAATAGTATATATATTATATTCAGAATATAATATATAAAAACATATATATATTATAAAAATCTGAGGTGTAATTGCAAGTTTTTGTGCAGCTGGACATGGACCTGGCTATATTGGTCTACCAGTATTGGGTGAGGCTATTCAAAGTGCAAGTAAAGTGGCAACTTAAGTGCTTCAAGCCACCGCTGTAAAGCTCTTTCCTTTGTTCAGGCATCAGTGAAATTGGGAGCATTTTTCGCATAGAATAATGACTTTATACCACACAGATATTGAACAATATCCTTCATTTTTCCTCAGGCTACAATCAGATCTTCATCATCCCCATGGGAGCCACCAGCATCCACATTAAGGAGGTTAAGCCCAGCAGGAACTTTCTGGGTAAGACTGATGTCAGAATTTGGCTTGAGTCCATTTGGATTCACTTCAGATTTGGTTTTCAAATATACTGGGCTTTGAGATATTTGCCTTGACCTAACAGAGGAAAAAACTCTCTGAAAATCAGGTTGTGAATTTTGAGTATCCTAAAGATGTTAGGGATGCTCATCCCTGGGCTTCAGATTTAGCTCATTCTCTCTTCTATGATCATCTTGGTGTTGGGTTGGGAATTAAAAAAAAAAAAAAGAAAAAAACAGACTTTCTACCTGGAAGGGAGTCCTGCTGACACAGAAAAATTTGGTAAGAGTTCTGCTGTTTGGCTGGTAAATACAACCCCCATTTCCTTCCTCCTGCCACCCGAAAATTTCAGTTTCTTTTTCCTACAGATATCTTATGGTTATTCTTCTGTCCAATCTCAAACTCTGCAAAGGCCAAAAAGGAAGGGACAATGTCCTTGCCTAGTTTTCTGGGCAAGTGGTGCCCAGATGGTCGTCTTTATTTGCCTCACTGTGTGTGATGCAGTGTTGAGTGAAAACGGGAGTGTCCCCATTGAGTTCTTATGGAATATGAATAAATGTGTGAATGAATAAATTGTGGAATAAACATGTTGATTTCCTACCTTTTCCTCTGTGGCACATGGGTTTGTGCAGCCATCAAGAACGTGCGAGGGGAGTATTACCTGAACGGGCACTGGACCATCGACTCGAGCCGCGCGCTGCGCGTGGCCAGCACCGTGCTGCACTACGAGCGCGGCGCGGGCGGCGACCTGGCCCCGGAGCTCCTCCACGCCCGGGGCCCCACCACGGAGCCGCTGGTCATTGAGGTACGTGGCTGCCACGCTGCTGCGCCCGCACTCGGCCCTTGCAAAGCTGCCCCCGCCTCGTGCGGGGAAAACGTGGGGGGCGGCTTTAGCGGAGCTGCTGCTAGCCGGGCTCTCGGCAATCTGGTGTGGCTGCAGGCCCACCAGCAGAGTGGGGTTTTGCAGAAATCACTCTGCTCTCTTGGCTGGCTCTGTTGCCCAAAAAGGAGCAGGGTAAGGCTTGATTCCTGCCTCTTCCTTTGGGTTCTGGAGTAAAGAAGGGGAGAGGGTGCCCAGCACAGAAAGGGGCTGGGACAGGGACTGCTTGTTGCAGGCTAGGCCAGGGTAATTACTGTTACAGGAGGAGCTGGATCTTCTGGCTCTGAGAAACATGAACGCACCCTCCTCTGGAAAAGGAGGTGCTCTTTAAGAGTATCAAGGAAGGCAAGGGGAAAATACAGCACAGAGAATAGTTGCTCCTTGCACCGGAGAGAGACAGATCTGCATGAATCCTGAGGCATGGTGGGCAAATGCTGCAGAAGGGGAAAATGCTGCTGCTGTTTTCTTGATGTTATCCCTTGCCTTGATAGCTCATCAGTCAGGAGCCCAACCCTGGGGTGCAGTATGAGTACTACCTGCCTGTGCAAGGCCAGAGCGCAGGTTACAGCTGGAGCTACAGTTCCTGGAGCGAGTGCAGCTCCGAGTGTGGCGGAGGTAGGTGAGAGGCCCTGCTCCGGCGATGGCGAGCGCGCCCGCCAGCGCCCGCGCTGCGCGACCCTGTGCTGCCCTCTGCAGCTGCGGCCCCCGCTCTGCTGCTCCCAGCCAAGCAGGCACGGAGAGCCACAGGACGCAGCTGAGCTTTGTCCAAGGGGGACCACATATGGAGTCCCAAGAGGATTTTGTCCCTTGCCTTGTGCAGTCTGTTTTTTTATGTCCTGTTCCTCAAACTTTTTACTGGAATCTGTTAATGCTCTTCATAGTTAGCCTTTGTTTTCTTTTATTCTGTTTCGTTTTTTTATACTGTTTTCAGACTTTTTCAAGCACTTGCTTTAGAGGCCCTGCCCAAGCCGACCTGCCCCACATCACCAGGTCCCATCGATCCTTTCTACCCTGTCATGGAAGATTCCCTTTCTTCAGGGGGTTGTCAGATGTCTTAGGGTGTCGTCAGATCTCTTGGGGTGTCATGTCATGCTGAGTCTATATATTCTTCCATGAGCAGAGCAATGGATTTTAAGAAAACTAAACAAGTAAACAATTTCCTCCCTCCCTCCCTGCAAACACCCTCCTATCTAGGTGGTCTGCAGACTTCCAACCTGCCTCTTCTTGTCTTTGTGCTGATGGCCATTTCAGTAGCTTTTACAGTACTATAGTTCTAGGAGCTACTGTTGTCTTTGCTGAGCACTGTCATCCTGTAGGAAACAGGAATTGCATTTTTCTCCGGTATCTAATCTTTGCAAGACTGGCCTCCTGGGTCCAACATCTGCTCCCAGCTCTACTGCTGTATATTGCAAACACCAAGCAAAGCTCCTTAATAAGCAGTATCTGCATGTGGTATTTCTCTTGGGATTCAGGATCCACTCAGATTGCAGGAAAACGCTGCTCAGCTAAGTGAACTATTGTGCCTCTCTTATTCTTCCTGTGTCCTTGTGTAATGTGGGGAAGCATTGTTCATATAGTCACAGGCCAAGAATTGCATCTGACTGTTCTCTGCAGCGCTTTAGGATTCCAGTGCATTTCAAGCCTTGTCCTCAGTGGCTTGCACTGATCAGGATACTCTCTTGCTCTTCTCCTTTAGGTTTTCAGTCACGCTTGGTATTTTGCACCATAGACAATGAAATTTATCCCGACTATATGTGCAGGAATAAACCACAGCCAGACAATAACCGGACATGTGGCCGTCAGGCCTGTCCCCAGACCAAACGGTAAGATTTCCTTTCCTCTTCTGGACTCCGACTTATTCCTGAGGAGCTTTCAGAGCTAGGAAAGAGAATGACCTTCCCGCTACAACTATCCTCCAACACAGTGCTCTGCAAGGAAATGTTTCACTTAGTAGAGAAAGCCCAAGACAAATACAGGTGATGCTGTCACTGTGATGAGCATTCCTGTATGCACAAGGATTGGCTTGCTGCATCCTGTGTTTATTTCATAGTCCAATTAAATTTCCTTTCTGGCATATGACTGTGGAAGATGGTGTCTAGCCTGCATAGGAGATGGGAGATTCTCTGCTTTTCATTCTCGTCAGCCAGAGCCTGAAAAAGTAGCTGATGTCATTGTATGTCATTTCTCGATCCTTAGTGTTGTTGCTTTTAGAGAGGGCTGAGCCCTGCATTTTTTTTTCCTTCTCTAGCACTTTCAAACTCCTTTACCCAGCCATTTCCATCTTGTCCCTGCTACCTCAGAGTTGCCTTCATTTAGTTCCTATGTGAGCATCCAGAATTGGAGCCCTAACTGATTCTCTCACTGCGTATCTGGTATGATATGCGGTGAGGCCTGTGAGTGCTGTTGTGGGGGAGAGGGTATCGGAGGCCCGGAGTTGTCTCTGAATACAAGATAGTCTGTAGCTCTTTGCTTTAAATCCCTAAATCCTTTGTTCTATGTGTAAAGGACTTCTTACATCTACCTGCCGCGAGCCTGGAACCACAGTGGAGCACGGAGCTCTCAGACGAAGAGGTAACAAGGAGAGGGAGATTACAGAAAGCGCAGGAAGGCAGCTGCTCTCTTCTGCTCTCCTCTCGTTTGGCCACTGCAGACTGTAGGGATGTGGGGACTTCCCTTCTTGGCATTAGCAGCAGTGGTGGATGGTGCTTTGCTTTTTGATACTGCCCATGAAAATGATGGTGGAGGGTGCTGGCTGGCAGCTTTGCTTAGGTGGTGGTTGATGCTTCTGATAACCTGACTCTTCTGGGACTGGCAAAGGGACAGATTCTTCATAGCTTTTAGCTTCCTATGGTGATAAGTGTTGCCTTTTCTCTGGAATCAGGCTGGAAAGCTGAAGGACTGTTCTGGAAGATTTTTGTTTGGTTTCTCAAAAGAAAAAAATAATATGTTAGAGAACAGAGAAGAGGATTGGTTTTGAGATGTGCACTGTAACACTGGCCAGGATGCCAGAATGCCATGGCATAAGTTTCCAAGTTTCTCAGGTCTTCTTTTTTATAGCATGGGCTCTATAGCTGGCAGAATAGTGCCCATACACTGTGATTAAGTGTAAAGGTGTGACAGATACAATGTCCATCAAAGTGCTTGAAATAAAAAAGATTAAAAGGTAAACAGTTTTCCTCCCAATAAGCTGCTAATCACTTTGGGCTTGCCATGCTTTGCTCTCTAGGCAGGGGCTTATCCTTATGGTTGACCTTGACTTACAAAAAGCATGTGACAAGTGTGGAAGATGGTGTCTTGACTGGCAGTTGAAGGAAGCTGTTGGTGAGTCCATCCAGATGTTACAGGCTTTTCTAAAGCCTTACACACGCTTTACAGAAGGCATGGGTTTTTTTTGCTGTTGTTGTTGTTTTTCATCCTCGCTGGACCTTCTGTAAAATCCTGATCAGCTAATTTGTGCTTAAGTCTGCAATTAGGCGGCTCTGAATGGCTTTTACTTGCTGTAGTTAGTCCTACTTCCATAAGAGGAACATCTTATTTTATAGCAGAAGAAAGAAGCAGGTGGTCTTCTCTTGATAGAGTCTGCTGTGGGATTTCTAGTAGCCTATGAGTGTGAGTTGGGTCGCTTAAGCTCGGTTTAAGTAGGGTGGTGAGGGCAGAGCAGAGAAGGAGCTAGAAGACTGGAGGAGAAGCTCCGAGCTGTCCTCCCTCCCTGGCTGGGCTCACCTGACTGGGAGGGGAGGCAGCAGGTCACCATGATGTCCATCCCCCAGGGCCACCAGTGCATTTTGACCATGCCCCTCTCTGGAGTTGGAATGAAACATCTCGTTGTCGTGGCTGCCAGTCACCAGGTGGGACTGGGACACGGGAGCAGACAAGGGCAGTGATTTTAGCATCCAAACAGTGGGGCTGTTTTGTGGATGTTTCCCATTATGTTAGTAAGGGTGTATCATTTCTGTGACTGCTGCAGCAAGCAAACACACAGGCCAACATCTGTTTAAAGTTTTCTGGGCTTTTTCGTTGTGCTTCTGGTAGCTTCTGAATTTAGCCAGTGGGAAGAATAAACCAAATTTCTACAGGCTGTCAGTGAGAAGTTCCTAAGCACTTCTGAGAACATCTGGCCTGGTTCGCAGGCAGGGAGGCCTTGGTTTAGTTTTGCTGTGCTGCAGGGTAACAGGTGGGTAGGCAGATGTGGGTTGATATTTTTTTTCTGCCACAGTGGGTTGTTTTCCTTTTATTCTTTGGTGTTCTGTTCCAGGCGTGACAGGTTTTTGCAGACATCAGGACACCAGAAGCCGCGGAGAGAGACTTTCCTGCTCTGAGAGCTATGCGATTGCAAAGAAACAAGGGTTTTGTAGTTGGGGATTTGACCCCAGCTTGCCAGTTAAGCTGGGCAGCACTTGATCAAATGGGACCTCTCCTCCATCTCTGTTCTGCAAGAGGACCTTTTTCTCATCTGTCCTGTCCCGGGCCTCTGGGCAGTGTACCTGGATTTCCGTTTATCTGCTTGATTCTGTGATCTGCAGGTGGAAAACAGGGGAGTGGGGCCCCTGCTCGGCCACCTGTGGTGGAGGCACCCAGAGCCGCTCTGTCTACTGCATGGCCTTCGACGGGGAGAGCGCCCAGGGGGCGGTGGACACCGCCGAGTGCATGGCCTTTGCGCAGCAGCCTCGCAGCAGCCAGCCCTGCAACACCAGGCAGTGTGCAAGCTGGAGCACGGGGCCCTGGTCAGAGGTGAGTCTGCGTGGGGGGCACCGAGCTGCATCTTGGAGGAGCTTCCGCCAGGGTCTGGGGTATGAGGGTCTGCACCAGGCCCATTGGAGGCCGAGGGCTCGCGTGGGAGCGGCTCTCCATCAGCCGGGGATCTGCAGCGCCTTCCTCGCACAGGTTGAGAGCAGGGGCTTGTGCTCCCACTCGTGATAGCTTTATTTCCGTGTGTGTTGCTGCCTCAACATTGCAGGACTCGAGACCGCAGTGTTGAAACAGTCGGTAAGATGCGGTGAGCCGCTGGTGAGCTGTGGTTCAGCTGTGCCTGCACTAGGCTGTGTCAGCACAGGGCTCCTCTGGGCTCCTGCACGGCGTGGTGTTAGTGCCTGTGGGCAACTGTGTCTACAGGAGAGGAAGCCCTTCACGCTACACGTGCTCAGCGCTGCCAGCCAGTCACTGAGAAGGCGTCTTATGTTCTACAGACTTTAGAACTAAAGCTGAAAGATCTCACTGAACTGTATCTAGTCAGTCCCTAAGGCAAAAGTGCATTTTCCTCTTTTAAAAAAGTAGTACCTGTGCCCTTGTAGCGCCTGACTCAGCATTTTACAATCTTACTTTCTGAGAGTGGTACAGCATCATAAAATGCAACTTCAAGACATGATACTCGAGGCTGTATAGTCATTTTCTTTTCCTGTGAGATGTAAGGTGTAAATATTGAGGTGACTTCATGATTGTCCAATGGGAGCACCATTGGGGGAAGTCACCAAGTGTCATGTTGTTACAAATAGATTCCTAAGTGGTTCGTTCTGGGACTCCCAAAAGTGACTATGCTTTGTATGCTCATAGAAATAAAAGCCTAGTGCAACCCTAGCAAGGGGCTAAGACTCAGCTAGGAAGCTCATCCAAAGCCAGTCAGACTTCTCTGAAGTTGCTGCTGTCTTCAGAGACACCTTGGTAATTCATGGAGAAGTAGGCTGGATTGCAGGCATGAATTTGACAGGGCATTGAAAATGTCGCAAAGTAGTTTCTATTACCTAGTGGAAACTCTACGAACTAGCCCCCGTCTAGTAGTTGTTTTGCTATACAGTATAGAGGTTGTGTCACAGCTGCACACTATGGAAGTGAAACACAGGCTCTTTGGGCATAAGACATAAGCAACATAAGAAATTAATGAATTCTTTACCTTGGACTGACTTTATCAGGATTAAATAACATTAGGTTGCAGATATTCCCTTTCATTTGTTGCTGTCAATATATTTTGCAAGTTTTGTTTGTTTGTTTGTTTTTTCCAAGTTGTTTTCCCTTTCGTCTTTGGCAGAGGGAGAGGGAAATGATGGGACTTTCCCCAAATTATTCAATATACCCAGGGGCTCCCCAGACCTGTTAACCATACATTATTGTCGCTTCTACAACATAAATAAACACTCTGCTAGCACCCACCTATGAGGATGATTTTTATGATGGTTTCTTGTTTCAAGTATTCTCAAAATAGTACTCTGGCCTAAAGGAGCACAGCCTGGAAATGCAAATGAAGAATTAGGTGCTTCTTTTTGGTTGTTTTTCTGTTCTTTTAGTGCTCAGTGAGCTGTGGGGAGGGTGTCCGCACCCGCTCGGTGGCCTGCAGAACGCAGCAGGGCGCTCAGGCTCAGGATCTTGCTTGCCTGCTGCAGCCCAAACCACCAGCCACCCAGCCCTGCCTCGGGGAGAGCTGCATGCAGGAGATCGGCTGGCACGTTGGCGACTGGGGCCTGGTAAGGACGGCGCTCCCACAGCTCAGGAAAACTCACCACATTGTGGTGCTCCTCGCAAGCCAGCTTTGATCAGAGCACGTTGCCCGAGACTGGGAGCATGTAGTGCTTCGTTACCAGTCCCTTGGCTCGAGGCTGCATTGTAACTGGCCCTAGTAAAGCTGCAGTTAATCTGCTACCTGCTTTGTTTGCGGCTGCTACAAAAATAAATCCTTCTGAGGGGGGATTACAGTTTCAGTGACAGTAGCAAAATGCAGCCAGTAAACGGAAACAATCCACTCCTGCTGCTTATTCCCAACTCTTTGCACCATCACTATGAATAGCAAAGCAGCTCATTGACTGCCTATGGCTTAGCGCCCTGAGCTTCAGAACTGGTCATCACATTTGGTGAAATGATTTAGAGTATGTTTTTGTAATTGTCCAGATAAACTGTGCTGCAGCTGGATTAGCCGTGTCTTTGTGGAGGGAGCCAGACTGTTTTCAGCCTGGGAAAAATGCCGGGGGGAGGAGATGGGATAAATCCAGTGCATCACATGGCTTCCAAATACAGCATTTTCCCTTCCACACCAGCCAGACCAGCTTGTTCTGGGTTAAAACACGTTGCATCTGGTCCTTTGTGCGATGTAGGCAAAGTTTTAATTACACCTAGAAAAGTTGCATACCTTAATCTGATCTTTCCTGGCCCCTGGCTTTCTGACATGAGAAGGGTTCCTGCCTGTGGCTGAACCAAAGAGGAAAAAATATATATTCTCCCAACATTTCTAAAGCTTGCAATGGACAGGTGAGTTACACAAATGCCTCGTCATCTCTGCTCCCCTGAGTTGATGATGTTCATGCCTCCTTTGTCACCCACAGCTTGCAGTGAGAATTCCAGTTAGCTGCTTGCCAAGAAGCCATCGGTTTGCTTTCCTGATGTAAACTGGTTCCTGTTCTGGTGAGCAGGGAGTTCAGAGTTGACTCTTTCACAACTGGAGGATCCCAGTAGCACTGGGATGCCCCTAGGCAAGGCTGAAATAATTCACTCCTGCTTATTCCCTCTCCCTGCAACTTTGCTGGGAATAGCAGAACAGCTCCTTTGGATGTTGCAGACTGAGCATGGCTTAGAGCCCAATGATTCAGGGCCAGGCACAATGTTTAAGCTATTTGAGATGGTTTAAATGTATTTTTGAAATGTTTAGATGAATCCAGCTGGAGTATTGTTTACCTTGTCTTGTTAGAGGGTGCTGTGCTCTGTGCTCAGCTAATTGTGTGGCTTTTTGACCACGGGTTTTCTATCTCTGCTGCCTGCTCCCCTGCCTCTTCTCTGTGCCCAAGTGTTCGAAAAGCTGCGACTCGGGCATCCGGACACGCCAAGTCATCTGCGCTGACGGCGACTCCAAATTCTACAATCCCGAGATGTGCAAAGCCATCCAGCCACAGAAACCAGCCACGCTGGGTGGCTGCAACATGCAGCCGTGCTACCTGCCACAGCGTGAGTCGTGTTGCTAGGCACTAGCTTCTGCTAAGGCGCTTCTGCTTCCAAGTAGAAAGTGCCAGGGTTTCACACTAGCTTGTGTTTGCAGCTCCTTGCCCACCTCTGTCTTGTGCCGTTTATGTCTTGTGCACAGAAACACAGTGCCTTCAAGTGAGAATCCCAATTCATGTGTTACCTGAAATATATGTAACACGCTTAGGAATTACAGTGGTGTATGTCCAGTCTGAACTCAATATTCTGTTGGGACTCTGTCCCAGTTTATACCGTGGACTGACTCCAGCAGTTAAGAAGGATGAAACTCTTGGCACGCTCATCGTTAGAGACTGTAGACGATTCTCATCTCTCTGTGAATCAGGCACAAAGGAGACAACTGTTCAGATGGCTTTGCTTGCTGTCTGTATTCCTCTTCCCACAGGAACTTAAGGAAAAATTTCTTAACAATGGGGGTGACAGAGCACTGGAACAGGCTGCCCAGAGAGATTGTGGCATCTCCTTCTCTGGAGATCTTCAAAACCTGCTTGGATGCAGTCCTGTGCCACATGCTCTAGGTGACCCTGTGTGTGCAGGGGGGTTGGACTAGATGACCTCTACAGGTCCCTTGCAACCTTAAGCATTCTGTGATCCTATGATTCTACGTATATGGTGTCCCATTGAAATGGTCACCTTTGCCTGCCCATCACAGGTGTTCCAGTCAGTCCCATTACTGATCAGGAGCAGTTCCAGGAGAACATAGTCATCAGCTGCAGTCCCTTATTGGCTCCTGTTGACTCTTTCAGTCTTCTGTTTATGCATTTGCAATTGTTAGTATTAACCACACTAATTTTGTGCGTGTCTCTTTTTGCAGAGGTCCCCAGTATGCAGGACACTACGGGATATGATGTCACCCGGCAGTCCTTGCTGACACGTTACAACCCAAACAGCCCTGCCACAGGTTAGGAGGGCTTAAGTTTGTGGGCTTGGTGACAGTGGGTGTGAAACGGGGTGCAGGTAAGGGGGTGGTTCCTCCCTGTCTCCATTCCTTCTCTTCATGGGCTTGTAGAAATTCATGGAGGCAGGGACAAAGGCTGGATTCATTCACACCAATAGTGAACAATATCTAAGTGTATGCACACAGAAGGCTGTGCAATATAGAGATCCTAGATTCTGGCAGCACAAGTTAAATGCTAGCTGGGAAAGATACTGCCTGATGCAGATCACAGGCAGAAGGATAGGATCATGTACCCACTGTGAGAGGACCTCAGTAACGTGGAAGTTGGTTTCTGCTGGGACAGCAGAAAGAATGTGCTCAGAGACTTGTCCCAAGGGCAGTGAGGAAGAGAACCTTAGGACAATCAGATCCAGAGTAGTGAGCAAAAAGGTGCTCAGATGAAACCCTGATGCAGAAAAGCCTGCCTGGTAGCCAGTAAAAAGAGAGCATAGATGAGGAAAATTGACCAGATCTGGTGCTCACCGTCATGCTTTACGGAGTTCTCTCCCCAGATCCTGATGATGAAGGGATGCGCCCTGGGACCTCCGTGGCCCATGGTAGCTCTGGGAATCACCAAGTTCAGTCCGAGGACCGTGGCCCCAACCTCTTGCCACTTCGCTGGGAATCCCAGTCGCGCTCATCGGGTTCCCGACAGCTCAGCTTCCCTGGGGACCTCGCTGCAGGGACCAACACTCAGGACTGCAATCGGAGCCCCCACGGCTGCTGTCCGGATGGGCACACTCCAGCTTCAGGTCCTCTGGGCAGAGGTTGCCCCTTTGGCACCTGCCAGCAGAGCAGGTAGCTGGAAGTAGGCAGGCCTGAGCAGGGAGGCATTGCCTTTCCTGGGGGCTTACTCATGTTTGCTGGTTGGGAATTACTTGTTGAGCCAGGCACATCAGGTCTTGCTGCAGCCCTTCTGTGTTCTGCCTGCAGGTACGGGTGCTGTCCTGATGGAATATCATCTGCCCAGGGCCCAGACAACATGGGATGCCCACAGTATTACAGTGATGTTCGAGTGAACAGAAGTCAGCCCACTGCAGCCACTTCTGTGGTAAGTAGATAAACTCCTTAGATTTTAACAGTCTGTCAGATAGCAGAGTTCGGAGCTGGTGATGGTGACTCAGGCTATGCGTTTCTGCTGTACTTCACCTCTACCAGTAATACTGGAGAACCAATACTCCATGTATGGCATCAGATCCCCTGACCAGCTTTGTTCCTGCTCAGTCTGACAGCTCCACTGGTGACTCTCTGTAAGCAGGAGAGTGAAAGCTGTCTGAGAAGCAGCAAAGCATCTTTTGTAAACTGGCTGAATTATTCCAAGTAGTCAGATTTCTTTTTGGCAGATGGTTGCCATCCACTTTCCAGGGAGTAAGAAAAGGGAAATATGTTGCCACTAGAAATGCCCTTGTTGTTCATCTCTGCGGAGTAGTTGAGGGCAAAACAGTCAGGGAGGATCTTCCTCTTTGTTCTTTGGGGCTTGTAGCTTGGGTGCTTGCTGGGGCTAGCTGAGAAAACTGGCCTGCTGCTGGGTTGGCTGGGTCTCTTTTGTGGAGAAAAACACAGCCAAAGGCCAAGTTCCGCCCCCGCCAGCAGGGAGGCCTCCAGGAGGCAGACCAAGGAGCGGGGTTCCCCTAGCAGCTGGTTTCCGCGCGACAGCTTGTGCGCGGCGCTCGCGCGTGCCCCTCGCGTGCTCGTGGTAACCTGGCGCTCGGCTCCTGTCTCTAAGGAGAGCCCAGCCTCGTCCCAGCAGCACCCCCCAGGCGAATGCCGCGCGTCCCGCTACGGCTGCTGTTTTGACAACATCGCTTCAGCTTCAGGCCCTCAAGGGGAAGGATGTCGCGATAGGCCCAGCTACCGTAAGTGATGCTCTGGCTTCTTGATTTAGAAATGTTGGAAGAGTTGTACAGCATTCAGCAGGCCAGGCCACAAGAAACTTCCCGAGCAGAGCCTTTGCTCTCTGGAAAATGTACTAAGTCATTCTCCTGCAAAGGAGTCCTGCCTGATGGCTCAGGATGACACAGAAAAGCTGCCACATGGTTCAGTTCTGTCACCTACCACAGAAATTCTTGTCAGCCTCCATTATTGTTTTAGCAGCACGAGATTCCTGTAGCTTCTATCAGTTTGCAGAACATTTGTTTACTGTGATGCAGCCTGCAGTGTTCCAGGTTAGCTATCTGGGTTTAGAAGTGAGGCCTCCCTGAGGATTAGGGCAGGCTCAGCTCTGGATCACCCTTCTCCTTTGCTCTGCAGGGAAGCACCTACTGTGACACCAGAGTGGCTGGCAAGAACATGCTGACTCCTTTACTTCCTAGATGTGTCTTTTGCAGGCAGGTGTGCTGCTCTGCTCTCTTCCTTTTTTGTTGCCCCACAGGCATGGGAAAAATCTCTGGCTCCCTGCTGCTCAGGCAGAGCAAAGGGCCCCTTGGTCTGAGCCCTGTGTCTGGTGTTTGTCAGCATGTGGTGGTGATTACAGGGGGGCTTTGTAGGTGCACTGGGCTGGGCTCTATATCAGGGTGTGGGGACATACCCTGTGATGCATGAGGTTTCACAGCTGCATCTGATCCACTTGCTCTTTGGGCTGGGAATGTGCAATGGCTGTTGCAGTGGCACTGCGGGCACAGGGAACCCTGGGACGGACCTGCCAGTTGCAGAAAGGCTGCAAGGTGTCAGTCTCATACCTGATGTCTAGTCAGTCTAGGTTCAGTGTGAAAATTGGGGCAGAAAGAAACATCTGAGCAGCTGACCTGAGTTCAAAGCAGAGTTTGGTGCAGAGCTCAGTGTCCTACTTTCCGACCTGCTCCCGGCCCATAAGACTCATCAGATTCCCTAGGCAGCAGCTTGAAGCAGCCGAATCTGTGTGTGTCATGACCCTAACATCCCGCTCTATGCTCTTGCCCCGGCAGCCTTTCCCGTGCTGTGCCTGCTGCCCAGCGCCCACGGCCCCTGCGCGGACTGGAGCACTCGCTGGTACTTTGTGGCAGTCGTTGGCAAATGCAACCGGTTCTGGTACGGCGGCTGTCACGGCAACAGGAACAGCTTTGCCTCGGAGGAGGAGTGCATGAGGGCTTGCCAGGACCGCGCGGGTCCCCAGCCCCCGC